TAATTTGTTTTTGTTAAATGATAAGGCACATACCAATAAAAACAAGTAAACAAGTGCTAACTTCCAATTCATATCTTGGCAGAGACAGAAGAAAATGCGTTACCTATAGAGGCTACATAGCTGTTTATGATCAACTTGTTGTGGCCACATAAAAACAGCCGTAAAATATATTAGCAGTAAACACCAACTAACCTTGCAATGCATGGAACGTGCGTTACACGCCTATACAGATAGAAAATTAAATACATCAGATATTCAGATGATGATTTGTTGTGAGTTGATAGAGATAAGAGATATAATTAATTAAAAAATTACTTAATTAATTATATAGGAAATACAGATGCTTACTTGAAAGAAAGACGTTACCCATAAGAGACAAAAAGTAAAACTAGAAACGTTGACCTTCAAAAACTTGCAGGCACATAACACATAACCAAACGTACAGAAAAACCATAATGTAATCACATGTTTATCTCTCTCTCTCTCTCTCTCTCTCTCTCTCTCTCTACTTAGGACCAACTGCATCTTCCCTTAATTAAAACTCCACCAATACTCTCTCTCTCCACCTCATCCAGCAGTTGACTTCACAAAACTTGAATTCCTCAAATAACCAATCCTTTTGTCATTGAGCCATGGCTGACCAAACCAAAACGACTTCTATCATATGCAACTTCTTCTTCCATCACAATCCCACCTGCTTGGCTTTTCTTTCTCAAGGAGGTGAGAGATCATGAACAACACAAGTGACTCTGGTGGCTTCCTTGGTTCCAGCAACATTGGTGGCTTTGGTTATGGCATTGGTGTGTCAGTTGGCATCCTCCTGCTCATCACAACCATCACCCTTGCTTCCTACTTCTGCACCAGAACTCAGCAGCCGCCTGCCCCGCCGACACACAGGAACAACACCCTTGATCCACCTGACCTGCAAAACTTTGTTGTTGATATAGGACTTGATGACAGCACCATTGAGAGCTACCCGAAGATGCTTTACTCCGAGGCCAAGCTCCAAAAGACAGACTCCACTGCCTCCTGCTGCTCCATATGTCTTGCTGATTACAAGGGCACCGATACACTCCGGCTACTGCCGGATTGTAAACACCTCTTCCACCTCAAGTGTGTTGATCCATGGCTGCGGCTGCATCCTACCTGTCCCGTCTGCAGAACATCTCCAATCCCAACACCTCTGTCGACTCCTCTGGCAGAGGTGGTTCCATTGGCAAGCAGGCGAGACTGATGGAATGGATAGAGTGGAGGGAGCATGGATTTGATTTTGGGGGGTTTTTGCATTATTTGTATACAGAAAAGTCATTAGCATATATCATCGAAGTTCTCCCAAATGTTGATGGAGCTCTTCCATAGTGAAACTTTCTTCAATTCTTTCTTTTATGTAGCTTGAGATCTGGTTGTAAGAATTCATAATAATTTTGGGATTTATACATTATTTAAAAGCATGGTTTCCTGTGGCAGGAACAGAAACTGCTACAAAATTCTAAAACATGTGCAAGCCTGCAAGGTACACATTGCAGAGGGTTAAGCTAGTAGTAGGTGTCAATTACTATTAGGCTAGACATATAAGAAGATGAATCAAAGGGGCAATGACAATTTAAAGAAGCTTTAAAAAATAAAAAATAAAACATAAAAAAAAAACCTCCACTGAAGAATCCTGCAATCCACTTGGGATGAAATATCGATGAACACAAGGCAGTTTATTATTTAATCATCCACAGATTTCAACATTTGCGGATTAAACCTGATTAGGAAGGTCCAGTAAGTACAAATATGACTCAATTTAATATCTAAGCACATCTGTACCTAAATCTTACCAGCCTGAATGAATATCATAAAAGAAACTACTAGGTAAGTCATTTACTAATGCAGGTCACCCTTGTTAAAGCCTTTAATAGTACAACTACTGAAATTGATGGGGCCAGTGACATTCCTTCTGACAACAGAACCTTATCCTCCAAGATGCAAAGACCTTTCTGGTGAGCCTTAAAGCAACTCTATTCAGAAAAATATGAAAGAGGCATGCTCTTGTTGCAAAACCTATTTAAGTGGACAGACAAATTCCTATATTATTAAATCCCACATAAAGAAACCCATCAATTTCCTTTCCTTCTCTTGTTTATGGAAATGGGAATACCTGATTTCTCTGTCCATCCTGAAAACCAACCTCCAGAGCTTCATTGAAACAAGACCATCGTCGGCCACTTTAAGGTGCAGAAGTTCTCTTTATTACATGCCTTTTGCTCCTCCATATTTCTTTAGAGCTTCTAATAAGTTCTACAAAAAATTGAAGAGCTTGCCACAATCCCTCACCTTCACCCCCATCTCTCTCTTCCAAATAGCCTCTCAAGCACCAATAAGACAAGATGGAAAACAGATCGTGAAAAACGAACTGAAGTAATATCAAAGAAGCGTTCCTCTACATGTGATGTACTTACCAAACAAGAAAAGAGAGTAATTCAAATTATAAGCGAAATAAAGGAGGAATTGTATTAGTCCAACAATTTACACATAAATTTTTTTGAACTATTAATTGGAAGTACCCCTTAATTTTGCAGAAGAAAATCATATTACATTGATTCCTTATAAGTGCAGAAAATTTTAAAAAATCTATCTAACAATAGCAATGTTTAGGTCCTCCCTCAACAAGGGTTTAACTTGATACATGGGCAATAAATCTGAAACACCTCCCCCACCTCCTTCTGAAATAATAATAATAAAGCACTACAAATACAGATACCTACCATAAATAAATTCTAGCGGATTCTGCCAACTTAATTCATTTATAATAGCACCACAGCAGATGCTGTATGAATGCACCATTCTGGCTTTGCTCCCACCCCTTACCACATAAACTCCATTCCACTTCATCAAAGAACAAGAAGGGCGTATTCTAGTGTTATGATAATCCACGACATTACCAGTTCTTCAAATAACTAAAAATGGGCCTCAACACATGCAGAATCGCATATACGGTGTCCTCATTGTTTATTCTAGCTGATCATTTCACGAATATCAAAACTTTACCTACCTCTCTGTCTCTCTGAATAATTTACACGTCCTACTTGTGTTTCCATTTCTTATGCAACCAGATAGGTGAATGTATCTTGAGCACATCTGAAACCTCCTCAAACTCAAAGTCCGCAGGTAAAGGGCATCTAGGCCTATATCAATGCACAACTTAGAATCCAATTCACATGGTTCAGTAAAGGAAAATGCCTAGAGACTACTTGTCTGTGTCCATGGGCTCCATTTACCAGCTACCTTTGCCGATTAATGATTAAATTTGTAGGTGCAATTATCATGCATATCATCCACATGAACAATCTCGTCTTTCCTTTTCTGAATACATGTGCTTTGGATTCCAATTTTGGCACATTGATAGCAACATAGTATTGTCGTGTCTGTCAATGTTGTAGTGTAAGAGACCTTCCATCACCATCATGCATGATTTATTTTTGTATGGTGTGGGTGCCTTTGTATTCCCTGGTCAACTGGAGACATTGCTTCCTATTCTAATATAATGTCGCATTCATGTTCACTGTCTACTGACTAGTGGCTAGGACAATTAGCCATTAACCATTCCAAATCTCAATTTGAAAGTTGAAAGTAGATCCCAAGTTCCACCACAGCTACCATCTACAAATTTCAGACTCATGGATCTTTTTCTTCTGAAAGGAAACCGAAAACATACCCTCTACTACCCCAACAACAACAAAAATCTGAATTTGCAAATCGTATAACACTGCCAACCAACTACACGAAAAGGGTTTCTAGCTCAAATGTTTAATTCAACCTTAGAAATCCAAGCATGAACTATGAAGCCATGAATCACTAAATATATTGAGCATGCAACTACTTTTTTTTTTCTTTGGGTACCAATTTATTTACTGTAAAATTCATAGCTACGGAAAGCGATCGAAATTGCAATAAAACACTGATCTTGGAAGTGACAATATTTGGAACCAACCAAGAAAATAAGCATCAATACCCACAAACAGGTTAAACGAGTTAGAAGCAAGAAAACAATAAAGCATGCCTGCAAATACAAAACATGCCTACCAATACCAGGTACAAGTTACTCTATATGGGGTTACCTGGACAAGCTTACTGAGGCCACTGTGAGAGCCCAGCGTAGGCTCTGTGGTCCCTCCCTGACAAGAGTAGCGTCGCTTTCGACTGCCTGCGATTGTTCGAAGTACAGGGCAAAGCCCAAAACACAAAAATGAAATTTCCACTTCTGTTTATTTTTCGCTTTTTGTATTTTTGTTTTGGAAAAATATGTTTTCCTGGAACTAATGGCTGAAAAAGGAGAACAAAAATAAATCAACGAGTAATGAAATATCAGTCTATTATTTGGGTTTGGACTCAACGCTCTTGGAATCTGAATCTCAAGGTTGGGTCCGCTCGAGTTTCTAGCCTAGGGTAAGTGATAACGTTAGGGACTCAAGGTCCAAGATCGAGTTCTGGGCCCAATGTTGAGCGAATGATTGTCCAGGATCGTGGAATCGTGGTCCAAGTCCACGATACCTGGAGGCTCGTGTTTAATAATCGCGTTTTTGGAGAGCCTCTTCTCTATAAAATTACTTTAAAACCACTTGGGAGTGATTTTAGATAAGTCAATAATCACTTCTATGAAGAATCACTCATCGATGGAAAATTTACGTTTGAGCATCAGTTTTGGCCCAACGCAGTGAGCATCGGAGGGAGAGATTGGACATCAGCTTTGGCTTTGCCATTGAGATTGTAACCTCGTAGCTGTAGGTTTACTTGTAATTAACCCTGACCTTATTTTCCTGTTTTTCCTTACTATGCATCCAAATTACAAAGAAAAAAATGCAGTGGACATAAGCCAAGTCACAACCTCAAACGATATCGACCCCAAAAAACAAATCACTGCGCAAGTACACAACTCAAGCCTAGTTTAAGCGTAAACCCTCGTAAAAGATTATAGACATAAAATGACAAATACATTGTAATACAATATGGTACCACAATTTTTAAACTGTTCCGTTTCAAACAATGAAAAAGAATGTGCAACAATTATGTCAACGTTATGTGTCTGGTAAGGTGAGCTTCTGAAAGCCAGCAATAATAATTTCAGAACAGAGGCTGAGTATAAGGCTGACTGAACAGAGGCTGGGTATAGTTGGAATCATGGCAATTCAACGGATCTACCAAGATCATCCAGCTCCAAGAATTGCCCATTGTCACCTAGCAGCATTTGAGCCGGAGCACATATTGAATTATGCACAGCGGAGAAATTATAACCATCTTCACTCACTGTAGCCAGCTTGCCCAAGTCTCCTAAATCTTCATAAATATCATCACTATTGACATGAGGTGTAGCACTAGCATTTCCAGAAGGAATGGCATTACCAAGCTCCTGCAAACGGTGAAGAAATTTTACATTAGCATACCTTAGAAGTTTAAAGAACATTTGCAAGATAATTTATGTGTACTAAGGTACTTACGGAAGTAATATATTTCTATTACTTCCATAATTTATGTGTACTAATGTTCTTATAGGTGCATATAAGAACATCCAAAAGGATCCAGCATAAAATGAAATTTTCAAAATTAAAGTTCAATACCATCAACTTCTCAAGTTACGCCATCTAGTTTAAAACTCTAGCTTCAAGAAATAACATTTGCACTATAATTATTAACACTGAGTCCATAGTCCCAGCTTCCACAGAATATCATTATAGCAAATCTAGGCAGCAAAAGATCATTACTTAATGAAAAAACAGGGAGAGAGATCTCCTCATCAGCAGAGGATACTAACATATCATTTCTTCATGAATAAAGAGTAGGAAAATTTACCCTCCATCAATTGAAAAGTAAAAACAAAAAATAACAGTAAGAGAAGCACCAAACATCTGTGAAAGCAGTATGAAATAAGAATAAGGAACCAATTAGGTTGATGAAGGAGATCAAAAGAGAGAGAGAGAGACCCTCATCAGGAAAAAAAAAAAAAACCAAGGCTAATTTGTCTCTTTCAACAACCTGGATGACATGAATGACAAAAGTAAAATACAAATTACTTATGTTCACCGAAATTTAACCCAACTCTATTGTGACGCATTAGCACATATGCATTGGAAAGCTATGGCATGAGCAAAGTGTCACAACATAAATCTATCTCGATTCCACCACTAAGAAAATGATAAATTAGATTATATGCATTTCCCCTTTGCTATGATCAGGAATGATATATACTACATAGTAAAAAGAGAAGGAAGAAATTACACACCTCATTTTTGTCATTTTCTTTCATTAAGGAAGTGCTTCCTTCAGTAAAGCAATTCAACATTGACAGGATATCATCATTGGAAACATGAGGCTTCTCCATTGTAACATGATTACTGGAAACCAATTGGAGAACATTGCAAGAAGGTGGTAAAGCATCTGATATGCACGATTCAGATGAAGGACCTATGTGTATACCCTCCGGGGAGTGTGTGCTAGTGATGATGGAACTATTAAAGTTGCTCGGCACCACAAGGTTTGGCTCAGGCATGTTTGCATGTGGGACTGCTTCTGAACAAATTTCAGCCTCATCATCAGTCCATTCTTCCTCTTTAAAGGGTGCACCATATTCTGCACCATTTCTCGGCCCTGGCCCATCTTTTTGGAAAATCATACAGATCACATACGAGTCCTGCAACATCAAAAAGCTAAAAAACTTAATCAGCATAAACCCACTAGCCATGAAAAGCTACTAACAATTTGTATGAAGTAAGGAAAACTAACATTATCAGTCCAATTCAGCAGCATGAAAAAATTCTAATCATATGAAACATTAAAGAATAACAAGCTTTACAAAAGGAGAGTACAATACTAAATCGTTTCAGAGTGTCGGACTGATTTTATTAAAACCAAAGAAGAATACAAAATAGTGAGAGGAAGAGTGTCATTTACCTGGGGCACATCACTATCAGCCAGGTTCTTAGCTTCAAGCCTATACTCATGCATAACCCAATCTGTTCTTTCTCCTTTTGGAGCTCGACCTGTATGAAAGATCAATGTTTTTATCCACCCGGAAACTTCACCATTGTAAAGAACAGATCTATCCTTTCCCGTGGCCTTCCAGTAACCGCATTCGTTGGCACGTTTCACTCTAGCCCCAGTTGAATACTTCCTTGATGTCGGACAAAAGAAGTACCATTTTAGATCACCTTGCCAACAAGATTTTTCTGAAAATAAAAAGCACAACACAATCAAAAACTACATGAGACAAAGAAGGAAAGCCAAGGTTAATTAGAATGAAAAGGTCAATGACAGTGATGAAAACGAAGAAGAGAAATTAGAATGACAAATACCTGGAAGATCCCAAGGAGCATACTTGTGAATGTCGACCTCTGCAATGAAGTTAAAATGCAGCCTTTTCCCCATTACCTTCCTCTTCAAATAATATTGTACAAGTTCTACATCAGTTGGAGAAAACCGGAAACCAGGAGGCAACGGTGCTTTCCTCATCACAAAATCCAAATGTAAAGTCTCAACTATCTAACAATAGCCTTAAATCCCCAATGTAGAAATTCCTCACACTACGCGAAGAAAATAATGTCTCTTAAAAGTAAACAGCAAGTAAAGCAGAGGTTACAAAAAGAACAAAATTATAAACAACGCCCCTCCCAAAAAATAACTAGGTCAAGTCCAGTGCCGGAACAAGATTCTGCGCGAACACCACAGCCTCCCTCGGTTCATAAAATAAAATTGTCCAATAATTGATGAATGTTTGTTGTTGAGATCAAAAGACATTTGGATGTGCAATGAAGACCCTGTTCTCCAACATTATTAGACACACGCTCAGAATGAGCAGCAGAAAACTGAAGGAAAAATAACAGAAAACTAAACAACACAGCACAGGAGAGAAAGCATATCAGAACAACTTTTTTCGTATATAAAAGCTTTCAAGACAAACCAACCCCATCAAAATTGATATGCGAAACCTCAAAACCCTAATTGGTAATCACTTTTTAAATATCCCTGCATACAAATTATATATGAATGATGCCCATTTCTAAAAATTAAAATTAAATATTTTTTGTTTTAAAGTCAAACCCAGATCATAAAGTCATCAGAATCATCTAAAAAACCCATAAAAACAATCATATAGAACCCGAAAAATACAAAACTGAAAACCACATTGAAAACCCACAGAACGCTAGCCCGCCAAAGAAAATAACGAAACTTGAACTGAGGGCAAAACCCTAACTTGAATACAAACTAAGACACGTACGACGTAACAGCTAGTACAGAGAGAGCGCTTTGATTCTAAAATAAAAAACGAAACCAGGAAAAACAATCAAATGTCTAAATAATTTTTTTTTTCAAAAAAAAAAAGACTGGGAGCAACTGAAACGTACCATCAAGAGAGAGAGTTATACCTGAAGATGGGAGAAATGGGATGATGGGTTGAATGGGAGAAATGGCGACCGAGGATGGCGTGTATGAGAGGAAGACTCGAAGCGCGGAGTGAATAATCTACAGGTGACGACTCTGGTTCTTCAGTGGTTTAGGGGTATTTAAATCACGGAAGATTGATTTTCTATTTAAACCCCACACTTCTCTTAGTTCACCCCATCTTTTAATTTAAATTTTCACAATTTCTAAAAAAAATACCACTATCTTCCCAAACTACCCTTAAATACACCCCAAATTGAAAAAATAAGAATTAAAAGAGATTTTCTATTTAAACCCCACAATTCTCTTTATTCCCAGCAAAAAAACACAAACAAATAGAACTCTAAACCCGAAATTTAATACTTTCTAGAGAAAGAGAACAAATTTACCTCTTTTCAAGAACTGTAACTGGAATTCCAACACTTGAGTATTGTTGAGTTGATAATCAACAAGCCTTTCCATCAACTTCCACGCATATTTAAAGAGGTAGGCTCGTCAATTTTCTATGTCTTTAAAAGAGAAGAGTAATCTAACAATAGGATGTAGAGAAGTTTGTATTTTTCTAAAACTTGATATGAAGAGTGGTGGGGTATGTGGGATATGTGTATAGATGTACTAGGGTTAATTATTAAGTTGGATGACCTTTTTTGTCTTTTTACACAATAATAAAACTTACAACTTAATGATTTAAGTATTGAGATGAACAAAGAGAAGTACGGAGTTTAAATAGAAAATCTCTTCAAACATAGCCATATTTTCTTTATTTATTTTGTGCCCAAAAATGTTTCCTTCATTAATTTATATGAGCCTGGCCCAGCTGTAAATAGGCTATGTGTAGGCCTCTGCCCAAAACCCCTAGTCATGTGATTTAAATGAGTTGAGAAATTTTATGAAATCAACCAATTAGCTATTAATTTTCTGGAATTTATCCAGTTTTTGAAAAGGAAACAAAAATTCCAAGTTCAAAATCAAAACCAGCTTGCTCAAAAAAATATTTAAAAAATCTTGTAAGGTTTTAGAGCATCCACAATGGACTCCCTAAATCACCTCCTTAGGTAAAATTTAGGGAGGAAGTAAGAAAACCCACCTCCAACCATGCTCCCTATCAAGCTCCTAAAATAGGGAGACCTCAAGGAGTTCCTAAATTTGAGGAGAGAGAATGAACTCTTAGTGGCTCCCTATAATTTAATGCTACCTTATTTAATGAATATTTTTAAACCTTTAATCAATATTGCCCTTTTTATATTATTTTTTTATATAGATGGACCATTTATGTTGAATTAAAATATAATTCTAGCATTTACGACTTCCTAAACTAGAGAGTACAATTGAAGCTGAAATTTTATTGAGAGCTCCTAAAATAACTTTTGTGTGTTTTTAGCTAAATTTTAACTAAAAAATAGAGAGCATGATTATAGATACTCTTATAACCGAAGCCTTAATGCTTAATGGTAAAAGTCATTCACCTTTAAATCACAATCATAATCTCGTCAATAAAAGCTTTATGTTCACATGTCAGATTGTCAGTTAAAAATTTGTCATGACAAGGATTTGACCAAAAAAATAATAGAAAGAAGAAAGCATGAAATCTTTCCCCTTTATTTTTTTTTAACTTGGGCCTTGTACCAAGGGATATGCGTTAGAAATAAAGTCCACCAAATACACTTTTGTGTCAATGTGCTGCACGTTTTAGTATATATACAGTTTTTATAATATTAATTTATATAATATAAAGTATAAAAAAATTCGGAGGCCTCAAAAATCAGGGGCCCTGTGCAGTGGCGCCACTTGCACCATCCCAGGGCCGCCCCTAGTTGTCTGTAAAGTGGAATGAGTCCTTGCATGTATGGAACCAAGATTTTTCCTTGAGAAAAATTAGGGACGAAAAGGGTTACGCGATGAGAAACAATGAGATTGAAAAGGGTAATGGCATAAGAAACAACATCTCATATATATATAGCTCACTGAGCTGCTGAAGCTGGTGTTCAGTGCAAATGAGTTCAGTTTTGCTGTTGTGATAGTTGCACACCTTCTTTGCCATCAATGGATAAATCAGAAGCATGGAGAAAGGCTGCGTTGGTTCACCTATCATTCCTTAAATTGCCTTCATTATATGTTTTAGATTTCTATAAATTCTGACTTCTTTCTTTGCGAACGGATGATTTTGATTGTGAGGTTTTGAAATATTCGCTTGTGCCATGCTATTTGCTTCTGTTACTAGCCACAGACATTTTCGTTAGCCCTACAAAAAATTTCTCTGACAACCTTCATTTTACTTGAACTTAGATGAGGTTGCCTTCATTTTTCATTCTTCATTTCTCTAATCTGAAAAGGAAAATAGATTTGGGGAGGGAGGAGTATATATGCTTTCAAATTATCCAAATTCCACCAGCAGAGTACACTGGTGCTTCGATTCAGGCAGCTCACAAAATGAAACTGAAGGCTTTTATACCTGGAAATAGACCCATAGACCTGAAGTCTTGAATAGAGATAATGGCTTTCACAATGGATTACAAGTGTTCACTGGATTTTGTTGCGCATTACTTGAACATGTGAGCTAAAGATATGGCCCTTGTAGTTGGTTTCCATGGTATAATCTTGAATTCTCTAACAGCAAATGGATTAGATCAGAGACTAATTACTTCTTATGAACATGTGAACAGACGTGTTTGGTGTTGGCTGTTCTAGCAGATGATAATTGAGGAGAGACTCAAATACTCAACAAGGGAAAACCAGGTGAGTTCAAAGTTTCCAGTGCTAGAGTCATGGATTTCATTTACATGGCTGAATGATTAAAATATATAGGGAAGCGTGATTCATAGTCATTCTCCTGATGTTCTGACAAATATAGAAAACAAACATTTTCAAAACAGAAATCTATATGCATCCCCTTTTTGGTTCCTATTTGATGAGGAATAGATTGGGTTAGGTGCCAGAATGAAATTGGTCTCTACATTCACTTGGAAATAATGATGATGTTGATCAAATACTCTGCACATGCAGAGGGGATCTAAACACGATATCATGTGTGCACCTGTTTTGGTAATCCAAATAAAGCTGAAGCTTAGGTAACAAATTGGCATCTGAGCAATTTCACTTTTGTCGAGTGTATTCAGGATCTTATGTTATGTTCAGTTGTGTCGAGTGTATTTAGGATCCTATGTTATGTGCAGTTTTGGTTTGATGTTACACAAGCCAAATTGAACATAAGTGTGCCTCCAATCTATACGAAACAAACTTATTCCTTACTTGGATTGGACTATCACATCAAGAACTTACAAGCATTTTGTCACTTCGACCAAACTTTTGAAATACCATGCAGTGGTTATTGTGAAGAACCCTTTAGACGGTTTAGTGCAACCGGAAACACTGCTATTATCCCACGAGAAGGGTATACATTGTGGCTATTGAAGTGCTTAGAAGGACAAACAATGAAATGCCCTTCGGGTAGGAGTCTAGTCAAAACCAGTGTCTTGGATTACAAACATGTTAAATACTAAAGTTTAGCACTGTTGTATCATTTCCTTTTGCTTTTGTATGTGTAGTGTTTGCAGCTAGTATAATTGAATGGCATATGATAGCACACGTTAAAAGCGCCACATTGTGTGCCATATAGCTTGCAGATCAGAATACAGGGTGAAATAATGAGTTTCGCTTTTGACAGCCTTCTTTTCTGTGATTGTGTTTCTTCGTCCAATCCGTTTTAGAATTCATGGGTTTTTTTTTTTTTTTTTCTTCATTCATAGCCACCAAAATCTATGGCGCAAATGAGCGACGCCTCAGAGGATGTCGGGAACTTATATCCGAGCCTTGCTAGAGATGATACACACCTCAGTTATACAGAGTTTGTGGGATTTGACATCAATTTCTTTTAGTAATATATTCCTAGGGTTATTTACTCAAATGATCCTCAAATTTGTACCCGATTTACATTTTGGTCCCTAAACTAAATTATTCGTTCAATGGTCCATCAACTCTATATTATTCGGTCCATTGGTCCCACCGTCTAATTTTATGTTAGATTTAACCAAATTTTAGGATAAATATGTCTTTTCATTATTAACAAATAAAAATAGGGTTAAAATAAATACAAAATTAGAAAAACAATTGAAAAAAAAAAGAAAAAAAATCATGTGACCCAAACCCAGAGCCCCCTCCCTTCGATTTCTTCTCCCCCATTCCCTCACAGACCCCTCCCCCTTCTGTTTCCCCCCCTCCCTCCCTCTCTCTCTCTCTCTCTCTCTCTCTCTCTCTCTCTCTCTCTCTCTCTCTCTCCAAATTCAAAAACGAACAAATTGGAAAACAAAGAAAAAAAATTTCGAACATTGTTTGCATCTGTAGGTTGGTTGCAATGATGAGTTTAGGGTTTGTGGGTGAAAACAGAATGGGGGAAGAGGGGGGAGGGGTTTGTGGGGTGGGGATTCTGTTATGGTGGAATCTGGGAGGGTGGGTTGGGTGTGGCTGTATTTTTGGGTATCTTGAGAATATTTTTTGGTGGATGAACGGTGGTTGTTGGGTAGGGAGGAAGGTGGTGGGTGGTTGTCTCTCAACAACGAAGGGAAATCGAGGGGGAGGGGGAGAGGGTATGGGTGGTTGTTGAGTTGAGGTCCTGGGTTCGTTGGGAGGGGGGGTCTATGGAAGATTTTTTTTTTTTT